AGAATTGGGCAGCGGAAGAGCCCACACCGACCATATTAAGCGTATACACTACTAAAATGGCAACAGTAGGTGGAATTTATGACATTGAAGGTAGAGGGCCCAAGAGCTCAACGCTGGTACGTCACAGGAGTGTCAGTGCCTTCTTGCAGCGATGATGGCCCTTGAGAGGACAACTGGCCTGTGACTCAATAGCAGTTTTTTTGATTATTTAGCACTGATGGACTAAAACCGGGTTCAAATCACAGGTCATCGAATCCCGGGGTTGAGAAAGCTAGACTGAGGACGATTAATAAAGCAAATATTGGCCATCTCGGTCTCACTTGTATTTTTCGCCACCTCTATGCCACAATATTTATTAGAACTCAACAGACTCGAGTAAAACCCTATATATGCTACTGCTAACTACTCATCGACGTACAATATGCGCCAAAATGCATTACAAAGCATTAGAAAAGACTTTAACCATGAAAATCCACTCAAGGGAGATTTCAATGTTGGTTAAAGTGGGGGAAAATCTAAAAGCGTCTTCTAAGCAACACTGTGCTGCCTTCTTTATTCGGAAACCCTAAGCCGCATCATTTAAAAAAAACTAGCAAAACGAGAGCCTGCTTACATCTCCGTCGGAAGGATGCGTGCATTAATTTGCCTGCAGATTTTACCACTCCTCTCTCTCCATCCCTTGCACAGCTCCGAGCCAAGTGCAGGCCCTAAATGTGACTGCACAAAGCTTGCTCGTCTCCTGGCAAGTTAACCATTCCAGCGACCTTCATCGCTGCACGGCCACAGCCCATCCAGCAAACGGCGACGGTGCAGAACTGACCTGCAGCCAGCAGTTTTCCCCCAGAGACAACAGTACTGAGCACTTTCTTTGCACAATCAACGGTCTGCAGTCCGACACTGCCTACAACCTCACTGTGGTGGTGTGTACTTCCGCGGACATTTGCAGCCAGCCCTCGCAGGCAATTTCAACAACTACTCTGCCGCAAAGTGAGTGTGTGTGTGTGCCATTTGTTCCGTAACTGCCTCGTTTGAATGTTGGTGTTATAACCTTGTGTGTGTGCCCTTGCGTCAACATTCGTTATATCCCCCAGTTGTTAGTTAAGAAGAGAAGACAGACGGGATAGCAGACAGCAGTTAGCTGTAACTGTTTCTGCTTGTATATCAACTTTGTGTTCTGTGTGTCTGGCAGCTTGTACTCCTGTGCAGCTCGGTCTTGTCTGCAGCTCGGTCTTATCTGCAGTTCAGTAGTGTCTGCAGCGTGTTTTCTGTCGTTGGCCTCGTGTCGTCAGTAGCATAGTCTCGTTTCGCCAGCAGCAGAATGCTGCCTCCAGTCGGTGGCAGCGTATTTAAGGACCAACGGCCTTTGTTTCCCATTGGCCCTTCTGCAGGCAGCCGTCAGGGGGTGTCCTCAGGATGGCACTTCGACCAACTGTTATGCGCGCATGTGCATGCGTCCTTTAGTGCCCCCTTGTCGTGCGTGACCTCAGAAAGCGGCCGGTGGCTGTCCTTGCGTGTTGGCCCTTTGAAGGTGGCGCTCTTGGCCCATTCTGTATGCACACGCTGGCATGTGGGCTTTCTTTGTTCTCTCGCCCTCAGGACGGTCCGAGTGATG